CAAGGAAAGGAAGAGACCCATAAAAATGCTCCGAGGGTCCAGGAAGGAGGTCACAGATCCAGAAGAAGGACTTTTAACCCCAGGGGAGACTTTCTCTCGAGTTCAGACTCCTTCACGGAGCAAGAGCCACTTGCTCAGCTGTGTTCACATCACAGCCTACAGAAAGCCAGCCTGGTATTATCAGCCTATGCCAAAATAAACCATCCCGGCTTGCTGCTGATGCTGGTGAGTCCTGGCGATGCCGGTGATCGCACCTGAGCTCTGACAGACCCTCAGCTGCCCCCCCCCCCTTCAGCAGCATCCCCACATCCAAAAATGCACCCACAGGGCTCAGGAAGCATCAGCCCTGCCCCGTCCACTCTTTTCTGTCCTTATTTGCTGCCTTACAGCCAAGCTGCTGCACAAGCAGCCAACAAGCAGCCGTTAAGCAAGCATCCCTCCAAACCCCAGCATCGTTCACCTCCAGCCAGTTTTGTTCATGCCAGCTGCAATATAGAAGGTAAAATACAGATCAGATACAACCCCACAGCATGGCCAGCTATCATGGACAGGGAAATTGGACCCCCCACCCCCCCAAATACTGTTCTCTCCTGCACGCTCACCTCAACAATGGCCAAGCCCTTCCTTGTTTCCTTGAAGCACCGCGCACATCTCCAGAGCTTTGAAAGCTCAATGCAAGCCGCAATGTATGTTTGGAGATGGAAGCATCCGAGCAGCAGCTCTGCTTTGCCACAACACACACAGAAACCACCAAGCCCCAAAATACTGAAGCACGCACGCTTGGCTCTGCCTGCTCCACGCTGCCTCCCATTTCTCCAGAGCCCGAGCGTCTCCAAAGACCGAGACAGAAACAGGGCACGAGGGGCAGGTTCAGGATGCTGCGTTTCCTAGAGCAGAGCAGTGAGTCAGCAGGAAAAATAATGAAATAAAAAAATCACTCGTGGCAAGCAAGCACGGTCATTTCCTTGAGAGCAAGGGATTTAAAACAAGAACCTGTGATTCAATACGCGGTCAGCTCCTGCCTGCTCGGGCTGCAGGCTAGCTGCGGGATGGCCATGGAGCCATGCAAGTGGGTGTTTTGTCCACCCCGAGCACCCAGCCCCGAGCATGGAGCCGCATACACAGCACCACCAGCTCCATCCCCTGCTGGGGCCGTGCGCTCCCCACCACCGAGCTCCTCTGCTTCCAGCTCCAGCAGGTTTTGCTTGTGCAGTTCCTCCTGAGCTCTCGCTGCCTGATAATTGAGAGTTGCTGTGATCAGAAAACTCAACAGAAGATTTTCCTGCTCGAGCTCAGCCCGTTCTCAGCTTTTCCAAGACCACCGTTAGCACATTTTGTCCTTCACACCAGCACCACTAAAGCTGCCCGTCAGCACCCCCGTGGAGGAGCTCGTGGGGTAACGCAGCACAGCAGGACAGCTCGGTGCTGAAGTTGCTGGTGATGGTCACGGTCCCAGCTGAGCGGAGATGACAACCACGGCATCTCACCTCTCCCCAGCCCCCGGAGCCTGTCCCCGTGCCTGCTTTGTTCTGGTGGCACTGGCGGCCCCCAGGGACCGGCGCAGAGCCGGGGGAGAAGCGGCCCCGTCGCTGCCGCTCGGCAGACTCATGCCTCTGACATGTGCTGCGCGCAGCCCGGCCAGACCGCAGGATCTGGCTCGCTGAACGTGTGGAAGCAACGCTTCTCCATGTCTCACTTTACAAAGCCCCAAACAATAACTGTCTGTAGCTGCACAGGAGCTTAGGAGAAACATAAGTTACTATTGGCATAGCACGCAGCAGCCTTCCTCTTACACAACAACAGCAGATGTGAAAATAGCACGGTGCTGCCTTGTGCACTCCTCTGACCTCCTGTTTGCTTCTGGATCAGATTCCAAAGCTGGATCTTAACCTACAAGAGCCGTAAAAGCAAAGGATTTGGCCCTATCGGGGACCTCTCCATAATCTAAGACAGATGCACGTCGTGTAGAAGAGCACGCCGAGGTTTACCGGGGCAGGGGAGCGGCACGGCCGGGCAGCCCGTGCTGGCACCACTGCTGCTGCTGCGCTGGAGGCAGCGCGGGGCCAGGAGAGCTGGCAGCTCCCAGCCCTGGCCCCCTGTGGCTCAGCTGGCCTCGTTCGAGGTGAAGAGCTCCCAAAGGTGACACGGTCCCAATGCCATCGTCCTCAGGGCTGCCAGAGCCAGCACAACGTGGTGACCCGTCAGCCACATGGACAGTAACACGTCCCCAGGGTGCTCAGAGACACAGGGTGCATCTCGGGCTTCTTGGCTGTGCTGCCCCCAAAACCAAACCCAAAACTGCATCAGGATGCACAGAGAGATGAGTGCGGGGAGAACAAATCACACCTGAAAGCGTGAGACAGCAGCGGGAGAACTCAACTGGAGAACGCCAAGGGGAAGTGCCAGCAGTCAGTGACCTGCACGGGGTCATCCCTGAAAGAAAGCTGCACGAGTCAAGTGATCTCTCCAGTGTCCCCAAGGACACCCGCTGCCCCTCCTGCCTAGAGCTGCTTTCGGGACTGCAGCATCCCCAGGCAGCAGAGCAACTGCCCAAGTTGGGGATGTGGATGGAGAAGGAGCCACGCTCCTCACAGCCCTACCTGGAGGGGACACAGAGCCGGGATGCTCGCTGCTGTGTGCAGAGCTGGGATCCCCTCCGACATCGGATGCCCTAGGGGAGCCCAACTCCTCCACAAGCCTAAATCTTGTTCCCAAAATCCCCTGTGTCCTCACCACCCCGTGACCCACCCACAGGTGATGCTTCCCCATGTAGAAACACCAGCGTGGGTCAGGCAGGGGCCTTGGTGCCTTCGGGAACGCTTCTGCCCACAGGCGAGCGGCGATGCCACCTTGCACAAATCCTCCTGCACGAGGAACCATGGGCACAAAATCCCTGGCGCTGCCCCGGGTCCTGTCACCTTCCCATGCAGAGCCACGGGGTGATGCTCAGCAGCCTGGGAACACGGTGCTGGAGCCAGCAGGCAGGACGACCCGCTGCTCACGGCAACGAGGGGAGGTGAGAGCCGGCCTTCGAATATAATCCATCCACCCTGAGAATATAATCCGCTCCTAAACCTCCCCAACACAACGCAGAGCCCTTTAAGCAAAACCAAACAACTTCCTCCAGCCTAAATAAATATTAAACCTAAGCGATGCATTAATTTGCTCCAGTTCACCAAAGGCTAACTCCTACCCAAACTGATCATTATAAAAGAAATCCTATAATCCCTCGCTCCCATTCAGGCTCAAAACATGTAATCCCGTGAATAAATCCAGAAAGAAAGTGTAACAGAATGGGCAATAAAAACTTACAGCGTTCACATCTTTTCATCTACCATTAATACTGTAAACACTCACTCGAAGGCCCTTGAGTATGACTAATCTCGTGTTTTGGCTCCCCATGCTCAGCGCCGTAAGAGCTCGCCTCGCGCCGCGGCACCCGCCGGGACCCGCCGCCCCCCAGCCCCGCAGCGCCCGGCCGGGGCGAAGCTGAGCAGCAAATCCCGCAAAATGCTGCAAAATCAGCACTAAAAAGAAAAAAAAAAAATCGAGAAAGTATGGTTCTAATAGCACGAGAGCGCGGACTGACTTTTTTTTTTTATATTATTTTATTGCTTTGGAAGCCTGCAAGCTCCAACTGTATAAATGCCAATAACTTCCCAAGTTTTAAGGCTGCTGAAGTAAGAGATCAGATTTTAGCAAGTGCTTTCCAGGCAGAGAGCCAAACTTTTCCTGATTCACTAAAAGCACCGAAGGGAAGGGGAGAGGGAGGGGGCTGGAGGGCTGATTAACTTCAGTTACCACACAATCGCAAAAAAATGTCTCCCTGCTGCAAAGGGTGCCATCGCTGCGAGCCCTGCGCAGCCTGTTATTCCTTGGGTTTGGAAAAAAAAAAAAAAAAAAAAAAAGGAAAAAAAAAAGAAAAACATCAACAAAAAAATGCACTGGAGCAACGCAACGAACGCCTCCCAACCACAGGGTAATTTACAGCTGTGGAACCCCTCCCGACGAGGAGGCTGCTCCGCTGGTTTTATGTTCGAGCCACAATTTTCAGGGGGGATGAGGGGGGAAAAAAATAATCTGATTTTTTTTTTTTTTAGAGGAAGGGAGCAGGGAAGGGGCTGGTTGGGTTTAGGCTTGGCCGGGGGGATGGAGCCCCCTCCCAAACCCATGACCACGCTTTGCCCAGACCCTGCCTGGCTGCGGGAGGACGAGCAGGTGCAACCCTAGCCAAAACTCGGTGCAGGGCCAGGGGTGGCACGAGCAGCCCCCAGCCCAAGGGACACCGGCTGGGAGGTGACGGGGACACGGCACCTGCCCTGGCCACCCCGCAGGTGGGCGTCCCCCGGGATGCCCGGCTGGAAGCAGCACCCTGGGGAGCCCCAGTGCTGCCGGGGGGCAGCGACCACCCGTCCCCGTCCCACGGGTGCTCCTCCAGCGGCTGCGTTCCTGCCGAGGCAGGATCAAAGGCGGGCTCGGGCTTGGATTGCGTTCTCCTGAATAATGGGGAGGGAGCGCGCAGCCTCCTTCTCCTGGCTAGGGAAAGTCGTGTTTTTCAAAGTATCAGTTTTTGGGAGTAAGTTCCCTACGAAGAAGAAAAAAAAATAAAATAAAAATGAAAATAGGGCGAGCAGGAGAGCGCCTGCTATTCCAAGGCAAGTGCATCAATCAGCGTTGTGCGAGGAGGAGAGTCCAACACTGCCTCTCACATCATTAGCCAGGCTAATGCACTCCAGAGGATCCCGCTAACGCAGGCTACCGGCGCCCGGCTGCGCCCCAGCCCGCCGAGCACCGAGTGGCCACTGGAAAGCGGCTCAGCTCCCAGGGCAAGTGCCACTCCAGCATCTGGCGTGGGGATCATTTTAATGCGGCTATAAAAACTAGAGGGGGAAGAAAAGTGAAAGCCCCAGCCAAAACTGCCTGGCACTCCGAGGTCAGCACGCCGCCTTTGTTTCTTTTTTTTACAACCAAAAGCGAAAGAGGACAGAAAGGACACGTACCTGTACCTGAAAGCACAGCAGCAGGAAATGTAAACATCTGGAGAGGAGAAAAAAAAAGCAACAAAAGATCAAATGATGCGGTAAAATGGTTAAAGTCGGATTTTTTTTTTTTTTTTTGCTTTGTTTTTCTTTGCGATTTTTTTTTTTTTTAAACGGCGCAGCTCGATGCTCTGCGCATGAAAAGGCTCGGCTCCCCATTCCCACCTGATCGCGAGGAAAACGCAACCGGAGCCTCCAAAAGGAAAGTTTGAAAAAGAAAAGCAATTAAAAAAAAATAAAAAATAAAAAATAAAAATATTTATATATATGTATATATTTAAAAAAAAAAAAAAAAAAGGAGGAAAAAAAAAAGATGCCGTAATCCTTACAGGCAAGTGCAGGCGGAGAGCAGTGAATACATCGCTGGAGGAGAGGGGGAGGTCGGTGGCTTGCCGCTAGCGGAGTGCAGCCCCCCACCGCCCTGACATGGGAGCGATCCGGCCGGCAGGCTCCGCTCCGCTCCGCACCGCTGGAAGTTGTGGTACCGCCCGCCTTGCCTCCGCCGAGTGACTCGCTCAGGCATCAGCTCTCCTCTCCCCCTGTCTCTCCTCCTCCTCTCCCTCTCTCTCTCCGCCTTTGGGGGGGATGAAGGTGCTTATTGTCAGGAACTTCCGATCGTCAGCCCGTGCCCCCCCGCCGCTTTTCCCCCCCCCCCCCCCCGCCCCGAGCTGGCTGAAGCCTCCCCGCGGCTCCGCGCCCCCTTCCCGGGCATGGTGCGGAGCGGAGCGGGGTGCGGAGGCGGTGCCCGGCCGGGGAGCCCCGCGAGGAGCGCTCGGCACGGCCGCTGCGGTGAAAAATAAAAGAGGGGGGGGGGGGGGGGGGGGGGAGCACAGCCCAGCTGGGAGGGCTGGGAAAGCGTGAAAAGTATTAAAAAAAAATAAGGAAAAAAAAAAAAAATAAAAACATGGAGAAAAGGGAGCGGGGCCCGACGGAGCGGGCAGAGCCCGAGCCGCGAGGAAAACCCCGAAAACAATTAAATAATGGGGGGGGTGAGGGGGGGCAGCCCGCTGAGCACCCGTTTTGGGGGGGGGTCCGGGGGGGTCTTACCTCGGCGCGGCCGGGAGCGCGGCGCGTCCTCGGTGAGCCCCGGGCGGGCGGCAGCCCCCGGACCCCCCCGGGCTCCCCATCACCACCCACACCGGGCAGGGGCATCCCCCCCCCCGGCCCCCCCCCAGCCCCCCGAGCATCCCCCGGGGGTGTCCCCGCGGAGCGCCCTGCCCGGCGCGCTCCGGCACGGCTCGCCTGCCCTCCAGCGGCCGCACGGCAGCACCGCAGCCGCGCAAAGCAGCCCCGCCGGCCCCCCCCTCAGCCCCCCAGGTCCCCTTTCCTTTCTCCTTCTTTTCCTTTTTTTTTTTTTTTTTTTCCCTTCCCAGCGAGGAGAAAAAAAAAATAAATAAAATGTTCCCACGTTGAGAGAGCGCGGTGAGTGCCCGGGTGGTTCCCAGAGCTGGTTTCGGGCAGACAAAATGCCAGGAGCTGTTAACCTCCACGCGTGTTGGAACTCTCCGAAGAGAGCCTAGCGTCAGTTAACACCTTGTTAAGTGAGAACATAACCCTAGCTCAGGACTGCGGGCTTCCCAAACCCTGGGATAGCGGCACGCAGGGGCACCCGTCTCCTGCTCTCCCCCCGGGCAGGGCACCCCAAACTGCCCCCCGGTTTTCTGCCACGAACCAAGCGGCCTCCTCATCCCTGACCCTTTGGACAACAACTCGGTGGTTTTCAGCTCATAGTTTCAGGCCCAGGAGTAACAGAAAGCATTAAGTTTGTCAAAACCCTCGCAAAATCAAAGCTCCTTAGCTTACTCAGGAAAGTATTCAATATATTCCTAATTACCCCTATTTCTCCTTTGCTCGGACCCTCTCACAGCCCCCATACCCTTCAAACCTGAGCTTTGACTGCTCCACCCCAGCTCTCCCACACACCAAACCTCAGAGCAATTGGAAAATTAATCTGAACTCTCCCCAGACCAGCCTCAGGACATGAGTCGGGCCCTGATGTGCTTTGGGCATCCTCAGGACGTAATCTCCCCTCTGACCCTACCATAGGCACAAGTGCCAAGAAACGCAGAGCCACCGCACACCCCATGTAGGGAACAACACAGCTGGCAACTGGCCATGGGAAGCCAGCACAGCCCTGCCCAGCAGAGCCTGGAGCCCCCAGGAGAAGCTGCAGACGTGGCCACCAGCCCCCTGCAGATGGCCAACGTGCCACAGGCTGCCTCCAGTTCCATCCTTAGATGAAACCAGATTTCCCCTGCTCCACCAACAGCCCTCACCACCTTTCCTACTTCCAACCCCCCAAGTTATCCCTGAAGCCGTAGGACCCATTGATAGCACCACATTTTCCTCCACCCATGAGGACAGAAACCCCCAAGCAGCAACAGCGCAGACACCAGGAATCCCCCATCACGTTTTCCCAGCCACAACACCCCCACAGCCTGCCCCTCACCACCACCAGCACTTCAGCTGCTCCCCGTGCCCACCAGCAGCTCACCACAGGGGTGCCATCAGGAGGACAACGCCTGGCACCTGCCCTCCCTGCTGCCCTGCACCTCTCTGAAGCAGGACCCCAAAAGCCCCCCCGGCTGCTGAGACCTGGCCAGCACCACCCGCAGCTCCACAGGGCTCTTGCTGAGCAAAGTGCTGGCAACTGCTGAATTCACTCCTTCTCCTAGACCAGAAAACCCCAAATGGCTAACGTGAGGCACACCAAAGCTGCTCTCCCTACCCAGCCTCTCTAGGGAGCAGCTGAGGGCACTTCTCAGGCTTGGAGCACCACCACTAGTGACCCACTGTGAAGGGGCAAAGTCCCTGACTCAGCCATGAGCCCCCATCCCACCCCATCAGAGGACATCTGGCTCAGGGACACGGCCCCAGACTTCGGGTCCTATGACCTATTGACCCACTATGAACCCACTGGCCCACCGTCATTCCTGAAGCATCAGCTCAGCACCAGCAGCATGACACCAGCTCTTGGTTGGCCCTACAGATACTGGCAGAGGGTTTGGGGAGCGCTCAGGACATGCAACCAAGCTCAACACCCCAAATCCACACCAACCTCCAGACCACGCGGTGGGGATGCACCACCTATGACGCCAGCAGCTCCTCACCAAGAAGAGCATCACCTGAGCCAGCCCAGGCTGGGACCTGTCACCCACGAGGGCTGTGGTGACACCAGGAAGCCACCTGAGCACCACTCACAGGCTGTGGAGCTGGCACCTGGCGCTGCTGGGTCCACACTGGACATAGGGCTGGTGGGTTTTAAAGAGGACATGCTGGGTTTGCAGGGGGGTGGTCATCCTGAAAACACTCCCTGTGTCATCACAAATGGGGTTTTCACTTGAAGATCCATGTTTGTGCCTCAGGAGTGTGAGGAAGCCCTTCAGTCTTTAAAATCCCAATAATTATCTGGAGAATAACAACACCAGAAGTGAATCTTGTTCAGGCTGTCAGGGCGTCCCCTTCCCTGCTCAGGCCACTGGGAGCTTTATGGGGCACAGCACATTCAGTGGGGCTACGCACTTAAGCAGGGGGGAAACCTCCCCACCTGCAGGGTGTCCTTGTGTGCCTGGAGCTCAGAACGGGGACAAGAAGGCCAGTGCAGGATCCCGGCACCCTGCACTTCCAGGGCCCTTCCTCCCTTGCAGCCAGGGTTTAAAGGCACAAGGAAAACCCCAGGCTCACGTTTTGCACGGTCCAGCAACGCAGCTCAGCCCTGCCAGCAGTACCTACACTGGTTTTGCCCCATCAGGTTCTGAATCTCTGCCCTTGGGTCACATCCATAAGTGACTCTTACTGAAAAATAATTTATGGAGGACTTTTACATTTTAACCTCTCTGAAAAAGGACAGCCAACTTTGGAAGGGATGCGGTGCATATTCCATCCATACCCAGCATGCACACAACGAAACAACCTCAGCCCGAGGTAACGGATTTGGGGAACTCTTCTGCCCACAGATGGGCCGTGCAGGGGGTGGATACTTTACAACTATGCTCATTTGACAGAAGAGCACCAAAAAAAAACAAAAACGACTGATTGACATCCAGTCGCAGCGATGAGCAAAGTCAGGATGCAGCTTCGGCCGCACGCTCCGGGGTAGAGCCTGGAAGCACAAAGCACAGAGCCACACCGCAATATTTGGACATACAGATATGGATATCTAGGCCACAGAAAAGCTTAGCAAGCAAGGCCGTAATTTCTAACAGAAACTCATCCATGGGGACGCTGAGACCTGCAGGAGACCAGAGCTGGGAGAGGGCCTAGCCCAGGACACAGCCCCCAGCACGAGTCCCATTGCTTCCCCAGCAGGGCTGCAAAGCCCCTGCAGCCCCCACCCAGCCTTCTGTCTCCACTGAGGGACTCAACAACTGGCACCACTGATCTCAGGTGTGCAAGGAGAAGTGTTGACCACGTCATTGCTGCTGGGAAGCCCAGCTGGAGAGAGAGGAAGGTCTCTGCCTGCAGCCTGGGTGAAGAAACCAAATCCATGGAGCAGCACTGAGCAGAGAGCTGGGAGGGATGCCCTGAAGTCCCCGGGCAGCCAGGGAAGAGTGGAATAATGTGCAACGGAATCGTAGAAGAACAAATCATTGCAAATTATGGAATATCAACCTTGGCAGCTTTCATTTAGCAATACAAACAGGAGGGACAACCAGCTGGGACAGCACCGAGTCCCACAAGGAGGGAGCTGGCCAGGACCCCCCAGCCCGCCCAGCTGGCCCACGGAGAGCAAGGCTGCTCCCAGGAGCTTCCTGGGCTTCTTGGGAACAGTGGCAATGGCATCGCTGCTTTACCTTGGGCTTCCTCTGGTCCCACCACCCACAAGCATCACAGGTCCCCTGGGAGAACACGTGGCAGCTGCTCAAGTGCTTCTGGAGGGAGGAAGAACAGACAAACCTCTGCAGAGGACCCTACACAAACCAGTGGGAAATTCCAGCCTTCGCACTGCATTAAATCCTAGAGCTTGGCTCCTTGGATTTATATTCCTCCATGGTTTCATTTTTCCCTAAAAAAAAAAAGTTGCAAGCTGTTAAGCTTCAAAACTTAATATTTCCTTAACTCGGAGCTTTTCAGCTCAACAGCTCTTAAACATAAACCTCTTTAACTGAAGTCTCCTGAATTAAGCTGTCTCCAGCAAGTCCCCACCTCAAGCCCAGCCCGTGGAGCCTTTCTCCCTGGGGGGACAGGTCCCTGCCCACGCCGCCACCACAGCTCCCAGGGACTGTCCCATGGGCAGGACCTCACGTGCAGGCTGCACGACCACGCGTGGCCCCACAGCTGCCGTGTGCCACCCCAGGGCAGCTCAGGGCTGATGCGATTCGGAGCAATGTGCAGCCCTGGGCGAGGGCTTTTGGTTCAGCATCATCCCTCCTGGATCTCCAAGGCCTCCTACCAGAGAGCATCAGAGCTGTAAGCAGTCAGCAGCAGACGGACCTGTGCAGGATTCGGCTGGCAGCGAGCACCAGCAGTGAAGGTGCGTTGTGCTCCTGCACAGGGCTGCAGGGACAGCCCTGGGTACGCTCCTGCTGGGATCCCATACGTAAGGCAGGCTGCTCGCTAGGAGATGCTCCTTGGGCTTTATGCATCCCTCCTAACACAGCAGGAGGAAGACTCACACCGGTAACCGCGCCCTCA